GGTGCCGCTCACCACCAGCAGTATCTTACGGCCCAACCGGTCGACAAGTGGCGACCCAATAAGGGTGGCGACAAACATACTGGTGTTGACCACAATCACGGCGTACTCGGGCTGTAACGATGAGCCGGCGTCCATAAAAATACCCGTCATATAAAACTGGACGGCATTAGTGCCCGAAAATTGTTGGAAAAAACACAACAATAACCCTATGGTTAGCGGTTTGTAGACGTCCTGTCGGCGCAACATCTTTGCGCTAAACCCGGAGTCCTTTTGGGCCTTTAGCGCAGTCACCTGTGCCTCGAGTTCGGCCAACTCGGCCTCGATGTCGGACTCCCGGTGCCTGAGTTGGCGTAGAGCCTCGACCACACGTGGGCAGCGGCCATATTTGACCATGAGCCAATTGGGCGATTCTGGTATGAAAACCATGGCACCCGATAGTAGCACTGATGGTACGATTGCCCCGTAGCCCAAGTATTCCCATCGCACCCATAGGCTCAGTGTGTTCATCAGCAATATGCCCACCGTTCCGCCCAACTGTTATGCACGGCGATAATTGATTATGGTGTTTAATATTGCACGTTTGTGAGCATGTTTGTTTTGGACTTACGGTAAATGTCATACCAAATAAACCTCGGACACTAGGAGGGCAGATCTCGGCCACGAATGTTGGCACAGCTCCTGGTGTTTAACATGTCATTATTATGATAAAATTAGATTTATTTTAAATTGTGCAATATAGTAAATTAATAATACCTAAAACAGCGCCAGTACACAATCCAGTCACCACTCGGCCCAATATAAGTAGCCATACCTGACGACCAAGACTTTAATCAATAATTAAAATTAACATATTTTAATTTCACATTATAAAATTGGCATTTTATAACTCGTTTTACCATAACAAAAGCCAGCCCGCAGTATAGGGTGCGCCTAAAATTAACAGTGTTTTCCTGCGACCGATTATCTCAATGGAAAATCCTGTTTTGTAAAATAGTTTATTATTAAATGTAAAATTATTAACTAATTTTTTGTGTGAAAATCTTTCTCTCTCTCTCTCTCTCTC